ATTATTGGTAATTTTTACTATAAATATTTATTGTTGGTAATTTTTACTATAAATAGTCAGTGTTGCTAATTTTCATTATAAATATGTATTGTTGGTCATTTTTGCTATAAATAGCTAGTGTTGGCAACTTTTACTGTTAATAGGTATTGTTCGTAATTTTTACTATTAATAGGTATTGTTGCTAATTCTTACTATAAATATGCATTGTTGCTAATTTTTACTATAAATATGTATTGTTGGTCATTTTTGCTATAAATAGGTAGTGTTGGCAATTTTTACTGTTAATAGGTATTGTTCGTAATTTTTACTATTAATATGTATTGTTGCTAATTATTATTTTAAATATGTATTGTTGCTAATTTTTACTATAAATATGTATTGTTGGTCATTTTTGCTCTAAATAGGTAGTGTTGGCAATTTTGACTGTTAATAGGTATTGTTCGTAATTTTTACTATTAATAGGTATTGTTGCTAATTCTTCCTATAAATATGTATTGTTGCTAATTTTTACTATAAACGGTTAGTGTTAGTAATTTTTACTACAAATTGATATGGAATTATTCGTTTTGTTTAATTAATTTGCTCAAGGGTGTATGTGTGTGTGCATATATATCTTGCGTATGTTTGTGAGTGTCCATGTTGTGCAGATGCGCATGCGTAAGCAAGCTCCCCAGACATCCCAATGCAAGTACAACCCTATATCACCCGATATCTATCCTCTACGTCCTCGTAATATGCATTTCTTACTCCCCCTTTTCTCTCTATTAAAACAAATAGTTACAATACCTAATCTCAGAAACATAGACAGATGATACTTACTATGTTTAAAAAATATACTTTTTTTAATTAGAACATATAAATGTAGTGGCCTCCTCATGACCCTATACTGATGTTAAGGTTTGTAGTCAACATGTTAAAGAAATAATAGACTGAGGAAAACAGATATGTATACGTGTTTATCAAAAATCGTATCTTATCTTTAGAAACTGACACGGATTTATTTAATATCTAACCGCTTGCTCGAGAATACATTTTTCTCATGGGCTTTTCTAAAAACTTTTTTTAAACTTTACATGGACAACGCCCAAGAGAAATAAATCTGGATGTTTCCTCATTGAATTCGGTCCGGGATTGGCGGGTAAATGCAAATATCTTACCTCTTCCTTTTTCCGTCTCTTTAGCTTATCATTTAAAACTGACGTTGATAGAAAGCATTTCTTTGATGGATTTATTCAATACGGGTTGATGTGTATTTCGTCTCACGTATCACGAAACTGGCTAATCAAATAAGTTAAAAAATCAGTGATACCTGAATTCGAACAGAGTTAAAAGAATGCGCACAATGATATTCAAGCAGACAAAATAGCAGACAGATGAGCCGAACGTTCCACCTATACAGGGTGGATCAAAAATACTTTGGCAGCAGGTTCCTCACAACAAAAATAAGGACAAAAATCCGTAAACCATATGTCTGCAAATACATCGTTTTGAGTCATTAAGTTCAAAGAAAGTTTACGATAGATGACGCTGTGTTATCATGTAGACTAGGTTATATTTTTCATTCGTGTACAGTTGTGGCTCCTCTGTCATAGATATCTAACGCTAAATCCTTCGTTTTTGTCGTCATGGGTATGACGATAAACTATCATGTCATCCCATAAGTTCTGTCCGAATTTTAACTTTTTGTTAAAATGAACGAAATTTAAAGGAGCTGAACATTATTTTTATGTTTAGATGCATTTAAACTGATCAAATTTTACTTCAGAGATAAATAAAATTAAATTTTGTTTGATTAAAACCCTGCTAACATGGAAGTACCCAAGAATCATTTGAGGCACATAATGATTTATGAGTTCAAGAAAGGAAACTCAGCAGCCGAAGCGACTAGAAACATTCACTCAGTTTATGGAGAGGAATGTGTGAATGAAAGAACTTGCAGAAGATGGTTTGCAAAATTCAGAGGTGCAGATTTCACCCTTGAAGATGAAGATCGAACCGGACGTCCAGTTGAGTTTGATGAAAAGCTTCTTGAAGCAGCCCTTGAAGAAAATCCTGTTTTATCAGTTGAGGCATTGGCAGTGGTTCTCAGTTCAAACCATACAACTGTTCATAGTCTTTTTCAACAACTTGGAAAAGTTCGTAAACTTGGAAAATGGGTGCCTCATGAATTGTCTGAAAACAACCTCAAATCCTGAGTTGACATCTGCTCTTCTCTCCATTCTCGACAACTTGTTTCACCTTTTTTGGATAGACTTGTGACTGGCGAAGAAAAATGGATCTTTTATCGAAATGTTAAGCATCGTAGACAGTGGTTTGGTAAAGGGGAAGGACCCCAGCCACAGCCGAAAAGGGAACTTCATGGGAAAAAGGTTCTTCTTTCAATCCGGTGGGATCGCCAAGGAATAATGCACTTTGAATTCTTACCACCTAATGCAACAATTAATGCTCAAATATACTGTCAGCAATTAGAGCGTTTGAACCAAGCTTTGAGGAAAAATGACCTGATCTAGTGAATCGAAAAGGGGTGATGTTTCATTAGGACAATGCGAGACCCGACACAGCAAGAATCACGTCACAAAAGATCGAAGAACTTGGTTGGGTGAAAATTCCTCATCCACCTTATTCTCCCGATATTGCTCCTTCAGACTACCATTTGTTTCGTAGCTTACAGAATCATTTGGAAGAAACAGCTTTTGTAACACGGGAAGAGGTTAAAACTGACATTTGTGAGTTCTTCGAATCAAAACCAAAAGAATTTTAAAGTAATGGAATTAGTAAGCTTGTTAATAGATGGAAGGAAGTCATAGATAATCAGGGAAAATACATTGTTGATTGAATCTGTAATTAAACATTTGGTCACTTGTTTTCTTTATTCAAAATTCGGACAGAACTTATGGGATGACCTGATATATCCGCGTCCAGGGTAAGACGATAAACTACGCCCAACAGCATGGCTTCCGATCAGGAGGCTTTGAGGAGCGTGGAAGCACCTCTTAATTGCTGGTGTTCCTAGGTCCACTCTGACCCGGGGTGGTAGCACCTGTTAGGAGTCCCAGCTATGGGAAAATAATTAACCCCGAAAGTAAGGTAAAAAGCATTATGAAAGTGTAAAAATAGGTTTTGATACCAGAATTACTTTGTCAAAGAAATTATTAACAGAAATAAATTTTTGAAGGAAAAACAACTATTACCCGCAATACGTTTTCGAAAAAAAATATTACCAGCAATACATGTTTTAAAATAATTTTCAAATTTGGAATGTATAACTAATTCTAAGTTCTATTTTCCCATCTTTACACTATATTAATTTTATCTTATAAATTTCCACTGTTCTGTCACGTATTAAATAAAAATAATTGTACAGAAAGTAAGGACCTACGTACATCAAATGGTCTTTAAATTAAGTGGCGTCAGCAGAATTATTATCGTTGAACTTTTAAAAGGTAAGCTTAAACATTAATTCAATACTTAAATGCAGCGATCAAATTTGAGTTCTGTAGTGTATTGATGCCTATTGTATCTAATCCTTTGTAACTATCCAATCAAGCGTCCCCCATAGGAGCTAGCTTAAATGTCGCCTTATAGGGAAGCATTTATGCTAATTTATAATAAAACATTCACTGCAATTTTGGATACAAATGAAAAATCAGAGTTACTTTCCTTGAAATATGAAAGCAACAATAATGGCTAGTATAATATATTACAGTGTAACCCGGATATAAGTGAGTTGTCGGGACCGGAGAAGAAGTCTCTTATATCCGGGTTTCTCTTATATCCGGGTTTGGTCTATTTTATATACATTAACACAGGCTCTAATTTGGGACCAGAGAAAATCTCTCTTATATCCGGGTTTCTCTTATATCTGGGTCTCTTATATCCGGGTTACACTAATATATATTTTTAACCTTGCATAATCTGGCAACCCTGAATCTGAGCTCAACGAAAATTGTTCCCTGCATCTAGCTTTTTATAGGGCTTTTGAATGAACTATGAATCATTGGAATTGCACACACCCCCATACACTGTACTTTATATATAAGATTCTGATATTCTAGATGGTATAAATTCTAAATAGTTTCATACACAGAATTGACATCACTACGATAATCTCATATTTATTTGACTTTGAAGGAAGAAAAGCAAGGAAAATAATGTTTTAGTTTGTATCATTGTGTTTCAAGTTGATAACATGATTGATTTCTGTTCAGAATCTTTAAATCTTCAAAAAATTTGAAAAATTTAATAATTTTTAAATAGTTTAATAAATTGAAATGGTATCATGTTTGATTTTAGTTCAGAAGGTTTAAATCTTAGATATTTTTATAAAGGAGTGATTTTAATTTTCTAGATGTTATAACTTCTAAATAGTTTCATAAACTAAAATGATTCAATATGACAAACTCATATTTATTTGACTTTGAAGGAAGCAGACCAAGAAAAAGAATGTTTTAGTTTGTATAATTTCGTTTCAAGTAGATAACATGTTTGATTTTAGTTCAGAAGGTTTAAATCTTAGATATTTTTAGAAACAAGTGATTTTAATTTTTTCATAAGCTGAAATGATACCAGTATGAAAAACTCATATTTATTTTGATAGTTTTATTGTTAGAAGGCTGGTTATAAAAAATATATTGTTTTATTTTTTACTGTGATTTTGTTGAAATATATGCAAATGTAGTTTACAATAAATAGTAAAATTGTGGTAAGTCTTAAAGAATATTTTTTACTGACAGACAGAAAGATAAATAATTCTCGTTTATTTAAAGAATTTGCATTAATGTACAGAGAGTACCTCTGGGTTGCTAAGATGTGGAACAACGACCGAAATTATGGAGCAGGTAGCGAGAAGGAAACAAAGTAGATATTCGCAAATGATCGAGAGCGAAATGCTTGTTAACCATTACACCACGACGAAATACCCACCTCACGAAATGCATAACTGTTATATATGTATATCTATAGATAGACAGACAATAAAAACTAAATGGATCGGAAGAGACTTAGATAGATAGATAGATAGATAGATAGATAGATAGATAGATAGATAATAGAAATCTACATACATAGATAATAAAAGCAGATAGCTAGATAGACTTTTAGAGATAGATAGATAGATAGATAGATAGATAGATAGATAGATAGATAGATAGATAGATAGATAGATAAAAAAACGAGATAGATAGATAATAATAAAAAAAACTATGTCGACAGACAGATAGAAAGATAGATAAATAGATCTGAAAGGATTTAGATAGATAGATAGATAGATAGATAGATAGATAGATAGATAGATAGATAGATAGATAGATAGAAATCTACATACATAGATAATAAAAGCAGATAGCTAGATAGACTTTTAGAGATAGATAGATAGATAGATAGATAGATAGATAGATAGATAGATAGATAACAAAAACCTATGTAGAGAGACAGATAAAATGATAGATAAATATATAGATCAGAAAGGATTGAGATAGATAGATAGATAGATAGATAGATAGATAGATAGATAGATAGATAACAAAAACCTATGTAGACAGACAGATAAAATGATAGATAAATATATAGATCGGAAAGGATTGAGATAGATAGATAGATAGATAGATAGATAGATAGATAGATAGATAGATAACACAAACCTATGTAGACAGACAGATAAAATGATAGATAAATATATAGATCGGAAAGGATTGAAGATAGATAGATAGATAGATAGATAGATAGATAGATAGATAGATAGATAATAAAAAAAAAACTATGTAGACAGAAGATAGAAAGATAGATAAATAGATCTGAAAGGATTGAGATAGATAGATAGATAGATAGATGATTTGTAACATGTCCAAAAATACATATAGATATATAAATACGTATAAGCCTGTTTATTAGTCACATGGAGATCTCTAACGCTTCTAGTTTCTGTTAGAACCTCATTAAACGTCAATAGCTCTTCAGTAAGGAAACTGATATAATACAAGACATCATTCCGTTGTTACCATATATCCGTATGTCGTAAGCAGAGGTCAGCATACCTACATGTTAAAAGCATACATCTCGAAGCCTATCCATTACTTATTAATCTATAGGACCCTCTGCTGACATTTTTTTTTTTTTTTTACCGAAGCCAACACCAGCTTTCTCCCCCCCTTTACAATTCCTGTCTAACCTCGAAACCGATCCATTCATCTTGTTTCCAATTCAATAAGTCTAAAATTGTTTATTCCTCAAAACATTCTCCGAACGACATTCACCTGTAACATCATCTTCCGACATAGCGTCACGTCCGATCGTCGTACACTTTCTCAATTATTCATCGATCAACCACAGCCCATCCCATTACCCTCGGTCGAATTTTGACGTGACCACTGGGGGCAGATAATTAGTGGCAGCCCTCATCTATCGACCCAATCAAATGGAAGGAAACCTTACAAGGCTAAATAGGTTTTCACGTTAATGTTTCGCCTCAGCCGGTGTCTTAGATGTAGAGAGGCTAAACAATTATCGCGTTGTTGGTAGTAGGTATCATGTGTCGTCAAACAGACCGATACACACACACACACACACACACACACATATATATATATATATATATATATATATATATCACCGATCAATTGCGTTTGCAAAATCTTGTACTTCCTACTCTTGACATACACACACAACACACACACACACACACACACACACACACACACACACATATATATATATATATATATATATATATATAGAGAGAGAGAGAGAGATAGAGAGAGAGAGAGAAATACATATATGTATCTCAATATATGTCTATATATACACGCTATACAGACATGTATATAAATATATATATATTTAGAGAGGGAGAAATGCATATATGTCTATACATATATGTCTATACATGCATGCTATGCACACACACACACACATATATATATACATATATATATATATATATATATATATATATATATATATATATCAGCATTTTATCGCGTTTGCACAACCTTGTTAGTATATGTTGTAGTTCATAAGCTGATCGTGTTCGAAAAAAAAAAACGTTCATTAACTCTAGATTCATACATATAAAAATTCGTACCTTCAGTTAAAAGTAACAAAACAATATTCCTTGATAATGGTTAAAAGAATAGCCGAAAGCGCTCATCAATGCAGGAAATTTGTACAATTTATGCATAATTTATGTTCAAAAAAGCAAAATTATAAGGACACAACAGATTATATATATAAAAATTAAAAGTAGCTGTATAATGTTTTCAACGAAACTTGGATAAAAGAGAAATTGCTGCCACCTCCGCACACAGACACACGCACATGCGCCCCCCCCACACACAGACATATATATATATATATAAAGGAATGTAACTGAAATAATAAAAACGAAAGAATATTAATATACAACCCAGTGTGTCTGAAGATTTTAATTTTTTAATATTTTTATTGTTCAATATATATATATATATATATATATATATATATATGAAGAAAAATATACGGAAAAAGCAAACAAAAATCCTTATATACAATTATGCTGTTTTAATGTTAATATGTCAACGTCGGACGTTTCGGTCTAATAAACCATCTTCCGGCGCGAATACCAAGCAGTTCAGCATGCAGTTTCCAATTTGAATTGCATCCTGGTGCTCTTATTTCTCATAGACGGTGTCCAATGCACCATGATATACTGTGCAGTCGTCAAAACAGAAAACAAACAAATCCCCTGAGCGGAATTGATAATATAAAATGGTGACAATTTACCCATTGCATCCTGTAGGTAAATAGATAGATTTGTATAGGATGCAGGTTCGAATCCTGTCAAAAACGAATATTTTCTATGAAAATTTCTCGGACATTCAGGCCGGTAAATGTTATTTAATACTGTTTATTATAAACAGAGCATTTACTTAAATACTTGTATCTATAAAAAGAACGTTAAACATAAAAATGTCTTTAATTAAAAAATTTGTCGGACTTTGTCATTTTCTTAATATATGACGTCATTTGTTTACATTTGATACGCCAGAGCAGTTATGAATGTACCAGATTCATGGAAGATTGAAGTTTATAAGCAGTAAATTCGACCTTGTCTACCGAACGCTTCTTTGTGGCCGATCGATAAGGCACGTCAGCGTAAATGACGGTTCCGTATAGGATGCAGGTTGGAATCCTGTCAAAGGACGAATATTTTCTATGAAAATTTCTCGGACATTCAGGCCGATAAATGTTATTTAATACTGTTTATTATAAACAGAGCATTTACTTAAATACTTGTATCTATAAAAAAAAAAAACGTTAAACATAAAAATGTCTTTAATATATATATATATATATATATATATATATATATAGATAGATAGATAGATAGATAGATAGATATGTATATGTGCAGATTATTCCATATTAGTCTTCCGCAAATGTATGCATACATATATTTGTTTCACTCACACATACCCGCACACGTTCACATATATATGCACACATATTTTATTCATTGTCATAATAGGTAGTAGAAGTAGTAATAATAGTAGTAGTAGTAGTAGTATTTCCTTTGATTTCTGTTGTGTACATAGAAATAATAGTATTAGCAATATTTCCTTTGATTTCTGATTTGTACATATTTTCCTTCCGGGTTCCAACAAGGGACCTACAGTCAGAAATAGCTTCATGAGATTTTCTACTGATCATTTTTGTAAGACATAAATTATTATTATTATTATTATTATTATTATTATTATTATTATTATTTCTTCCATTGACTTCTTTCGGGTCCCAACCAGTGACTTAAGTTCAGAAATGTTATCACGGTATTTTCTACTGGCCACACATATTTTACATAAATCCTTTCGTAAGGTGGGGGCAGTATAAATGAGAACATTTTGTTTTGTATTTCTTTAAGGCATGGGCTTCCAGGAATCCCTTCAATGAGTCAACCGGAACCTTTTCCAATCAATCTGAAGACTCCAACTACAAGAGAAATTATTGATTTTTCTCATGTGTCACAATTTTTAGATTTCCTTTTATATTTTGATAGTTTTTAAAGATCTTCAAAGATGGATTAAATCTGCAGGGACAGCCATGTCAATAAGAAACGCATTCTGTTCTAGTGGTCTTTGAACACCATGTCTCATCTATTAGCTTTGATTGTTCTCTGTGTGTATTGGAAAGTCTTATAAAATTGTTACAGGCCCTATCTCTGTAACTGACTCTGGTGATCGTATTATTATTATTATTATTATTATTATTATTTCCTTTGATTTCTGTCGTTTACACATTTCTTTCCGGGTCCTGCCCAGAGAACCAAGGTTAGAAATGGCATCATGACATTTTCCACTGACAAACAAAAAAAAAAAATGCATTGATAAAGCCTTTCCTAATGTGTGGGCTGTACTTGTCAGAACAATTTTTTGTATCTCTTTGAGGCATGGACTTCCAGGAATCCCTTCAATTCGTCTACTGGAATCTTTTCAAACAGATCCTAGGGCTCCAACTACAACAGGGATTGTTGATGTTCCCATGTGCCACATTTTTGAGATTTCGATTTCAAGGTCCTTATATTTTGACAGCTTTTTGAATATCTTCAAAGATACATTGCAGTCTGCAGGGACTACCATATCAATAAGGAGTCACTTTTTTGTTTCTTGTCTTTAATAACAATGTCTTATTATTATTATTATTATTATTATTATTATTATTATTATTATTATCTTTGATTTCTGGCGTTTACACATTTCTTTCCGGGTCCCGCCCAGAGACCTAAGGTTAGAAATGGCATCATGACACTTTCCACTGACAAACAACAAAAACAAAATTACATAGATAAAGCCCTTCCTAAAGTGTGGGCTGTACTTGTCAGAACAATTTTTTGTATCTCCTTGAGGCATGGACTTCCAGGAATCCCTTCAATTAGTCTACTGCAATCTTTTCCAACCAGTCCTAGGGCTCCAACTACAACTGTGATTGTTGATGTTCCCATATGCCACATTTTCGAGATTTCTATTTCAAGTTCCTTGTATTTTGACAGCTTTTTGAATATCTTCAAAGATACATTGCAGACAGCAGGGACTGCCATATCAATAAGGAGGCACCGTTTTTGCTTGTGGTCTTTAATAACAATATCTGGGCGGTTGGCCTTGATTGTTCTGTCAGTGTGTATTGTGTAGTCCCATAGAATTGTAACAGGTCCTATCTCCGTAACCGGGTCTGGGTGGTGTTCATCCCAGTTTCTTTCAGTTTCCTTCCCGTAGAAGTCGCAGATTTTTATTATTATTATTATTATTATTATTATTATTATTATTATTATTATTATTATATTTCGATTTCTGCTATGGTCACACTACCTATCAAATCTTCGGAAGACCAAATGCATGTAGTGATGTGTTGCTATGGCTACATTTCATGATTTGGTTTTCTAACTCCTATCAGACACTAGCGTTAAATGGACATCTTAGTGTGTGGCCTGTACTTATCAAGATAATGTTTTGTATTTCTCTTAAGCTGTGATTTCCAGGATATTTTTCATTGTGTTGTTGTGTTCCTTTTTTATCATTCCAAGCGCACCTATTAGGACTGATACGAAACTTGTCTTCAATTTCCACATTTTTTTCAATTTCAATTTCCAGGGTTTTATACTTCGGTAGTTTTCAAATTCCTTGGCTGCGATTTTACAGTCCGCTGAGCAAGCCATACCAACTAGGAGGCATGTTTTTTTTCTTTTCTGATTTTAACAGTTATGTCCGGACTGTTTGCTTCAACCTTCCTGTCTGTAAAGATGGTGCAATCTCATAGAATTATGATGGCTTCTATTTCTATAACCGGTGCTGGGTGATCTTCATACTAATTTCGTCACGATTTTTATATTCATTTGGCGAAAATACAGGGCATTCTGAGATTAGATGGTCAACGGTTTCCTGATATCTGTCACAGAACCTAGATTTCGGATCTACACTATTATGTATAAAATTTGCCTGAAAGTTTCTAGTGAAATGACTCTGGTCTTTCGCTGCAAGAATAAAGCCTTACGGTTCAGCCTTTAATCCAGATGCTCATAACAAT